CCGCCACACAGAGCCAAGTGGGAGGGAAGCCAGGGTAAATGATCAGAGGCAGTCTACGAAAAGGCTCGCCTCAGCTTGAGCACTGGGTGCCTGCTCAGTGAAGCAGGAACAGCTCTGCTGTGGCTGCACAGCTGGGCTCAAGTTAGTCATCTGCAGAAACTAGGCTTGATCTCCATTTTTGCAGGAAGTGTCTGAAATACCAAGAAACACAAGCACACAAAGTTGCATCTGTTGTCCACTTCTTGGTTGCCATGGGAAATGAGTGGTCACAAGTAACATACACAAAGTTAGAAACTAGGAAACTACAGAGTAAAGCCCTGGTAGGGCTTGGCATTTATGGTGCTTAAAAATAAAATTTCAGTTTGTCCCAGTAACTTTGAACAAGGTGCTGTTACTCTAGCTTTATTGGATATGGAAAAGCAGAGGTTACTTGTAAGTGTAACTTTTAAAAAACATAGCCTTCACCCTGATGTCACATAGGAGTCACAAAACCCTTTGATGGCACATATTTCACTTTGAGTGTCTTGAATACAAAAGAGGTGACATACTTAATACCACACGGCACAGCCCGATAAACAGTCTAGTATAAACTTGCTTGGTTGGTTTCAAAACAACCTCTCTTCTGTGGAAGTGAGGGGGATGTCCTGAGATTTTGCCATTAAAGTGTGCCACTAACTCCCACACTTAACCATAGTGTAAATGACTACTGATTCAAGGGAGGTCTCCACACTCAGACTAATGGATTAAGAGGTATCAGTAGAATGGCTAAACCCCAGGAACTAAAATAGTAACAGAACTTTCTTAAACCAAAATCCACTGTGAAGCATGGGCATAGTCCGGTGGTGACTGTGGGCTGCAATCATTTGGAAGAGTATGGAGTAAGTTAATATCAAATCATGGCAGAGGTCCTTGACTAAGTCTAGGCACAGAGTGTCTTTTCTGAGTTATTGCCAGCACCCTTCCCTGGCTTTCCTGTTTTTAGTCAGGATCATAAGAAATTAGAACTGGGAACCCTTCAGCATGAACTAGTGCAATTCTCTTATAACAGAAAATCAAGACCCAAAGACATTAATATAACTAAGGAAATGGAAAGTTAGTAAATTCAACTTTGGATACTCCTAGAAAGGAACCTTGAAACATTTTTTACATAAGCTTGAATCAAAATTAAAACTCTTGAAGTTTAGAGGTAAAACAGATCTAAGAATATAAACTATGAACACTTAAAAACGGACTGTTTGTTAGTAAAGAGGCCTAAAAGCCTAGAGAAACTACAAGGAGAGGGAATGGTCTGCTTTCTCAATACATCTTCCTAAGTTGTCAAGGTAACGAGTGTCAGGCTCCATCTCTCAGAAAATGCCAAGTTTACCACATTTTCTTCATTCTAGCTAAAGATTCAGTGGTTAGCTCTAACTTATGTACCCTTGTTCTCAGTATAAGATAGAAACCTGATAGCCACACTTTTAACTTGTAAAATTAATGGTATTTCATTCTCTACAAAATTAAGTAGAAAGCAACTTCCAGATGGTTTTCTCAATCCAGGAAGTTATCGCCCTCTAGAGGTCCATTGGGAAATATTGAGGGTCCTTTTTTGGTGTCACAAGTGGTGGAAGAAAGGGGAGAGGCAGTTGCTACTGGCATTGTGTCTGAGGATGAGGGATGCCAGACACAGTTTTATGTCGTCGTTATGTGCTGTCGAGTCGGACCAGACTCATAGCGACCCCTTCTCGGGTTTCCAAGGCAGTATCACTACGGAAGTAGATTGCCCAACCTTCCTTTCGAGACAAAAGTTTTATAGATGATACAAAATTATCTTTCCCAAGTTACCAATAGCACCCATGGCAACTGAGAAGTGGAGAAATGTTTAAGAGGAGTTACTGAATGGTAGAAGGCAGGAAAGTGTGAAATATATAGGGGCTCCGCAAAGGGCCTCGGGGCTGTGTCCTCTGACCTCTTCCAACCTTATGAGGAGGGGGATCAAAATCAACATCAACAGCCCAAGGCCGAGTCCCATAAAATGGAGGTCAGACATGCCCAACTTTCTTACCAATTCTGACCCCAACCATCCCTCCCATGGCACTCAGCTTCTCTGCTAGGTTCAATAATTTGTTGCAGGGGCCCTACAAAACACACACACAATGCCCACAATTATGGTTTATTAGGGAAGTAACAGGTTACAATTCAGGTTCAGGAATGGTCAGGATACAATTCTATTGCGACAGCTTCTCCTTCACCGTGTCTGCAGGCATGTCTACCTTTGGCGTGGACCTGGCCTTTGCCCTGCTCAGGCAAGTGTTACAGAACTCTTTTGGCTATGCTGATAGGTGCCCAAGGAGGCATCCCACTGTGCCAGCAAGATTCCTGCCTGAAGGCACTACGCTTTCTTGCTCGGGGCTGGAAGGCCACCTCTCAGTCTCCAGCTGGTCTCTGCTGCTTCTTGCTATCTCAGCAGTGTTAAGGTTTTGTCTATCTCCTGAGTCAGTAAGATTCAGCACAAGGACCTCAGGTCTAAAGGATACACCTTCATTCCTGGCTCTTCTTTCTTGTACCCTCTGGGATGACTCATTGTAAGCCTAGTGGGATGGCAAAACTGACTAATCACCACATTAAGGTTCCATACATCTTATTTATAGGTCCTACCCCCACAAGGGTGCCATGTACCTTGTTTACATTATTAACAAGCTATAGCACCACCCAGTCATCTGGTGGGAGTCACAAACACCATGGCTAGAAGAGCCATATTAAGTAATTCACTGCACTCCCATACAACCCATGCACTGGCAGACATGTATCTCTATCAAAAACCAAATCTCAGGGTCTGCAGGAAGTTCATGAATCTGACTGCATTTTAGCCCAGCCTATCCCAATAGCATTTACTTCAACATTAGGATCTAGGACTTGACTTGCCAATTGTTCATTGTAAACAGTTGTAGTACCACTTACCTAGGTATAACAAAATGTAGAATTCTCATTAGTCCATTTCTTAGGTTTAATTATAGTAAATGTAACAAGATGTAAGAGGCAAATTAAATACAGGTATATACAATGGTTGAATGCTTCCATAGCTGCAAAGATATAGCTTGACAAACATGGGTATAGGGACGGATAGATGGGTGAACAAGCTAAACAATTAGGTACGTCTAAATGGAGAGTGTATCCAAGATCATATACAGGGTTGGCAGACAATGGGCCTATAAGTTCATGTGAATGATCAGAATTCCCAGGTGTATAGTAGAGCTGACAAGGGGCAAGGTTATGGTCATTACTTGGTCACAGCCAGCTACCCAGAGGGACCAAGTAGTTGATCCTGCGGGCTTGGGACTATAGTCGCAGGGGACATCAAGCTCAATTGGCATAACATACTATACCAAACATTGTTCCACCTACTACTTTGGCGAGTAGCGACTGGGACCTTAAAAGCTAGGAAGCTGCCATCTAGATGCAACAACGGGTCTCTCCTCGTCAAGAAGAAAGAAGAAAACCAAAATTAATGGAAACAATCAGTCCTAGCAACTGGTACACCATCCGATCTGCAACCTATACAACCATGAGACCAGAAGAACTAGATGGTGCCCAGCTACCACTGCCATCCACTTGGAAGGGATGTAGGAGATCCTGCATAAAGAGGGAGAACAATGTGGTACAAAACTCAAAATCATTTGGAGGCAAAAAAAAAAAAAAAAAAAAAGGTGGGGACCAGGTTTGTTGGTCCAATGGAGCCTGGTGTAACCACTGAGACTATGGCCCCTAGCTGCCCTTCAGGTCTGGAATTGAACCCACAACTGTGGTTTCCAGCCAAACAAAGTACAGGCATGTGAGTTAAACATTTACCTCAAGTAGACACATGCCCTGGAGAGAACAATCATGGGAGAAGGAAGGGCTGCTTATGCACAGGGAGATAGCTCAGGGTGCAGAAGAGTATGAAGGGATGGACACTGGGAGGAGGTAACTATGGGGAGGAAGTGGGAGGGGAGCTGCTGCATTGTAAATTTTGGTCAATGACATGAGACAAAGTATATGTGAACTGCTGTATGAAAAGTGAATTTACTCTGTAAATCTTCACCCAAATCCTAAAAAAAAAAAAAAAAAGATATAGCTTGAATTCTCTATCTAAGATTTTAAGGCATTTTTAAATTGTGTAAGATGGATGTCATAGATTGGCATACACATGTTGAAAGGAGACAAGGACCTTCCTCCAGAGCCAATGGAGAGAAAGCCTTCCCCTAGAGCTGGCACCCAGAATTCAGACTTCTAGCCCCTTAAACTGTGAGAGAATAAATGTTAAAGCCATCCATTTGTGGTATTTCTGTTATAGCAGCACTAGAGAACTAAGACGGTGGATTTCTAATTGTTCTCTAGTAATCCATTCTCTTGTTTTCTTTACTAAAAACCTGAAATGGTTCCCATTTCCTAACTTCCTTAAGGCTGAGTATGGCTATGTGACTACTGGCCATTGATCAGTGAGCTGTGGTGAGCTGAAGTGATGCATGCAACTTTTGTGTTTTTCTTCTTTTTTCTCCTAATATAGGGAAGCTGCTTGCTTTCAGTTCTGTCCCTTTTTTCCTCTTGCTTGGAAATGTCAATTTCAGCAACCACCTTACTGACAGATGGAAGCCACGGAGTGTTCTACCAGCAGAATCCTTGGATGACTATATGGAGCAGAGCCACATACTCACTTTATTTCAGCTAATGTATTTTGGAGAAATTGGTTCTTTGCCTTTTTTTTTTTTTTTCCCCCATATGTCAGCTATTAAACTTCCCTATCAATTCCAAATAAAAAAAATGCAACTGGTCTCAGCAAAAAAATAATAGAGAAACTTGAATGTGCAGGCCTCCTTTTTAAGGTGTCTTTGGGTCATAGATGCATATATACCCTACAAAAAAATAACGCTATTTATAAGCTCAATAAATTATAAAACAGACACAGTCTGTATAGTTGAAAAATCCATCTGTTAAGATCTCTAAAAATGGTAGAAGGAGGTGGGCTTTATTACATTTAACACAATTCAACATATAGTTATGTTCAGTATAGTTAATATTCAGTGTGAACAAGGTCAGCCTCATACATTTATCTGCTTTTCTTCTTCTGCAGATCATACACAAGGGAAGGAGGCTTCTTGGTTTTATATGCCACACTTTTCTTGATGCGCCTTCCTTTGATGTCCATGATATGTGGCAAGAGAGGGGGCCGGACGGTGAGAACTGTTCCTTGAGGTGTATATGCTCGGAGATGCAGCCGGTCTTTAAACTGAGGTGTTACTGTGACCCAACCTACACAGGCATGCAGGAGAACACAAAATGGGGTTAACAACTATTTTATTAAAAACACTACACCACGACTCAAAATAGAGCACAAAAGGAGGCCTATGCTCTCTTTCACCCATTTTTTTTTAAACACACACACACAAATGTTTATTGAAGTATTATTTACAACAGCCAAAAAGTGAAAAACAATCCAAATAGCCATCAACAGATACATGGATAAACAAATTGTATATACATACAAAACCAAAAAACCAAACCCACTGCCATCAAGTAGACTCTGACTCATAGCAACCCCCACTGTTACTGTTTTCTAAAAACAACTATACATTTGACGAGGTACAAATTTTTAGAGTAAGTTGCATTTTATGAATAAACTTATCTAGTCCTTAAAATGCTCAGCTTACATAAGATACACATTTCTATAAAATTACACTGTAAGTCAGTAACGCTACTACTTCATTCAACTTTTAGAACGTACTTTGTGTAAACTTACCTGCAGAGGAAAACTTGATGTCAGCCACTGCTTTGGATTCCTCAAATCCTTCTTCTAATGTAATGTCTTCAGCAAAAAGAGGAGGAAATTCTGCCATTCGCTTTTCTCCACCCATTGGAACCTTCGTTGAGATAAAATGAAGAAGCTTGGAAGTTCAAGTAAAATCCTCTGTAACTCTAGTTTTAAGTAAATCACTGCTAAGATGCAGGGATCACGAATAGAATCCTTTTAAGCACTCAACAGCTGAAAAAAACTCCAAATCCCTTTCATGGTCAAATGGAAAACATGGGGGCTCCATGCCTGTGACGAAAACTACAAATCCCAGTGCAAGGGCCAAATGTTGGGTAGGCACATGCAGAATCATGTTTTATTAGTTCACAGTGCTTTTACAGCCCTCCATAGGATTTTATTACATAAAGCAGTGTTGGGCAGTCAAGGCAGTGTCCTTCCAAACACCTCAGTTGTTATAATCCTGGCCATGAAGATTAATCTTCACCTTACTACAAGCTTAATGGTACATATATAATGGAGAAGATTTAGCTTCTATGTTTACAGATGTTTCCATGAAATGGAATGAACTAGCTAATACTTTACCCATCCACTCATTATAAGTCTATCTTGAATGCCTGCTCCAGGCCAGGTCCTGTGTTAGGCATGAGGGGCACAAAAACATGTTAGAATATGGTCTCTGCCCTTAAAATCAAATGGGGGAAATGACACATAAACAAATAAAAAGTGAGGAATGTGGTAAGAAAGGCATCAATAAAGTGCTGTGGTTGTAATTAGTATGTTTTAGCTTATGGATGGCCTTAGTGAAGAAGTATTATCTGAGCAATATTTTTTTATTAACAATTTTTGCAGTGTTCCCTCCCCTTTTTGTTTTTTATAAATTTTTGCAGTCTGGGCAGTATTTTGAGAAATGGGTTGAAGTTACTTAGTAGAAAGGTATTCTGGGCAGAAGGGTAAGCCCATGTACAGATGCTCATGACTGATGAGTTCAGGTTGCTATAGTTCCGATTTCTCTCAGTAATGGGGAACTACCAAAGAATGATAAGCTGGAGAGAAAAGGTCAAAAAGAATGTGATATTCTTTGTATTTCGAAAAGATTTCTCTAGTGCCAAGGTTTCTCATCCTTGACACTATTGCCGTTTTGGGCAAATAATTCTTTGTTGTGGGGGGCTGTCCTGTGCGTTGCAGGATGTTTACCCACTAGATACCAGTAGCACCCCAAATCTGCACACTTGTGACAAAATCTGTTAACATTTCTTCTTGTTATAAACAGCAGTGTCCGATGGAACTTTCTGCAGCAATGTGGCTGTTGGGTACTTGAAATGTGGTTAGTTGTGACTAAGAAACTAAATTTTATTTAATTTTAACTAATTTATTTATATAGCCACATGTAGCTAGTGGCTACTGTACTAGGCAGTCTAGAGAAGCACAGCTCTGTAGCTATTCTAGGATCAGTCCTAAGCAATTCCTCTTTTCTTATGCAGCCCATTTCACTTTATAGGTGAGGAGGAACTGGCTGACAGAACACCAAAGACTGCTCTGTCTCACAAAGGTTCCTTTGCAGAGCTATGAGACTATCACGCTATATGTTAACCATAAGTGTATGCTACCATCAAAGTACATCACCTTACCTTCAGCAAGGAATGACCCGCATGCTTCGAATACACAGCATCTGCCCTATCCAAGGAAGTAATGTGCACAGGAAGGAAGTTGGAAGCCACAACTGTAAACCAAGCTGACTGATTTCCCTTGAGAAAGGAAGACGTTACTGTACGTAATAAAATCTTGCAAAATCAGCACATTACATGGTACAATCAATAACTCCCTGCCCTGCAAAAAGCTCCCTTTGTAAGTACTGCTGTGATATGGCAGCTGTAATCAAGTGAAATTAATCCTAAAAAAAGGGCACAATATAGAAACCATTTCAGCAATCCATGGAAAACTATGACTACTTCCACAGCTTTGATTATAAAAAAACAAAAAACCCACAATACTTCTGTAATTAAAAACAAAGAGGAAATACTGTCCCCTTTAACTGCTTCGGAAGGAAGGTTGGGCAATCCTACTTCCGTAGTGATACTGCCTCGGCAACCCAAGGAGGGGTCGCTATGAGTCGGGGCCGACTTGACGGCAAAACGACAACAACAACATGTGAAAACTCATATTCTGTGGACTTTAGTGAACTATGTAAGGATTCTAAGTGTAATGCTAAATTTTCTATAAGTTCTAAATATAAAACCCAAGAAACATGCTACTGCAACGGCTTATAAGTTGCCTTCAGTAATGCTAAGCTGTATGTGACACATAATATCCCACTGAAGGTAGAGTTTTTAAGGCCTTTGTTGTTGTGTTTGCCATTCAGTCGGATCCAACTCCTAGCGACCCTTCCTTGGGTTGCTGAGGCAGTATCACTATGGAAGTAGATTGCCCAACTTTCCTTCCAAGGAGTGGCTGGTGGGTTTGAACCTCCAGCCTTCTGGTTAGCAGTCAAGTGTGAGGCAGGGAAAGGCATTTATTTTTCCTTCCAAATTTTTACTTGGGAATTTTCTAACATACAAAAAAGAACAGTGTTTCAAACCCCTACATAGTCATCACCTAGTTAATCAACATTTTGTTGGTCTTGTTCATATAACCAATTCCTTAGCCCGTTCCCTGTTTTTTTTCCTGGAATAATGAAACTAAATCTCAGTACTCAGTCTTTTATTTTTAAATGGTACAGACTTTCCTTACCTGCAGGAAATCTATGCGGCCTATAGCACCCAAAAATAGAACCATTCCTGGTTTAAGCACAAAAGTCCTTGGAATAATGGAAAGTGTTGGCAAAACAATCTTTACTTCTTTTTCTGTTAGAAGATTTAAAACCTGTGAAGCAAATAGCATATTTTTAGAGAATTTCTTTTACTGAAGATACAATATATTATGATTTACCTGTAAGACAAAAAGTGATGAAAAGTTAGTATTCCAAATACTAACCAGATAAATAAACCAAATGTCAAGAGTTTGCTGCACATAAAATTTACATATATATTTCCTGTCTAAATTAATCTCAATTTACTTTCACTTCAACCTGAGTAAGGGCAAAATAATTTTTTAAGAGTAGGGGATGTTCCAGTGTTAACAGCAAGTCCCTCCTCACCCCATGTCAAAATCAGTGTGAACCTGAAAACATGGCTGGTTTAACTGCAAACTAGAAAATACTGCTCTCCCTATCAAAGCTGCTAAGGAGCAGTGATTTTCAGTTTAAAGTTAAGAGAATATGCTACCTTGTGTCCCAGTGGGAACTCTGTATGCCTTAAATGTAAAATAGTTACCAACTCAGGGAGCATGTAAAGAACTTAAAAAATCTCTTCCTAGATTCCGATCTTTAAATTTCTTATTTCCTTCAAATATTCAGCAAAAAATGAGAATGGTATGAATCCTCTAACTTCTGAAGGTAAAGAGTTTCTAAACAGAATAAAAAAAGATAGAAAAAGAAAACCAGGAAGTACAAGATTCTGGTAAGATACAAGGAATCAATATCTGGTTAAAAAATGAGTAACACAACTCACTGCTGCTGAGTCGGATCCGACTCATAGCGACCCCTCCTTGGGTTTCCCAGGCAGTATCACTATGGAAGTAGATTGCCCAACGTTCCGTGCAAGCAGTGGCTGGTGGGTTTGAACCTCCAGCCTTCTGGTTAGCAGTCAAATGCCTTAGGCACTATGCCACCAGAGCTCCTAAAAAGGAATAGAGGATGTAAAAAAATGGATAAAGAAGTCTTTGAGGCCTTTCTAGCTGAGGGCCTAAGACTTGCATTTGACAACAAAGTTCCTTGGTTAGTTTGGGAAACCTAGTATCACTGCAGCCCAATACCTATTCAATGCTTAAATTATCTCTATAAAATACCTGTAAGAGGTCATCCAGCTTGAACTTAAGAAGTGACTCCCCATCAGCTGAAGCAGTATTACATCAAAGCATCATATTGTTAGTTCCTATTTTAAAGCATCAAATGAGTTTATCTGGCATTGAAGGGGCAAAAATATTCTGCAGATTCTTGCTTTCTGATCTATTTCACAAGAGTTATTCAAGTAACTGCTATCTCAGACCTAACTAGGTCTGAAAAGGAAGAATGAGTTGATGAAGTTAATATGACAGTCTTTTATTAGAAACAGCCCAGCTACACTGAAGTCATGGATTGCTAAGGAAGGAAAAGACTAGGCAAAAAGAAATGTTCTTGTGTGCAGAGCAGAAATGCTCCACAGGGTTTTCAAAACTGACATTTTGGAAGCATATCGCTAGACCTGTTTTCTGAGGCAGCACATTTGGGTGGGTTTGAACCAACAAACTTTCCGATAGTAAGTAGTGGTTAGCTGTTGAGCGCTCAGGCATTTGCGCTACCCTGACTACCTAACAATTATTCTAGGAAGGCAAAAAGAGTTAAAAGATACATGATTCTATGACCTGGAACACCAGCTAGAATACAATTCCAAGAATGAAGCTGTAAGTGATCCTGCAGAAGCAAAGGAAGGAAAAGTACCTAAGAAACCACTAAGAAACCACTGTTTTTTCCCCAGAGATAATTAGGTGAGTCAGAAACTATTGGTAACCAGATTCAAAAGATGCGAGTTAATGGATCTGTTTGCTACAAGGCTGTATTCTTGAATTGATCAGTGATTGGATGAATATCAAAACAGAGAATGAAAAAGAAGTTGTGAGATTTAACTTGGATGTAACAGGGTAGGATATAGACTGAATTTAACAAGATAAAATCAAAGTTGCCCATGATTCTGTAATTAAGATTCAAAAGACATATAAGGGCAAGACAGGTGGAATTAATCCTATTTTAAACTATGCTCATCTGAGAGCACTTGTATATACAAGAAATTCAGTTCTCAGAGTCATACTTTAAGAACAAAACTAAATTAGAAAACATTCTGAAAAGAGGCATAGGATGATGTATAGCCTGGATCCTATCTCTCAGGGAGAACAGCTATAGGAAATGAAGACAAATAATCTGGATTCTGAGTCAGCACAGAAAGCGCTCAGTGGTTGATTGGATAAACAAATGCAAGAGAGAGGTAAGGATACAGTGAGGAAGAGACAGGACAATACACTTCAAAGGAAACAGTCATTACATTGGTTCCACACAGGTTTGAAAAATAATGGGTACAAATTACAGGGAGACTGTTCTGTTCAACACAAAGTCAGAGCAGGTCGGAGACCAAATGAGTTACCTTCTGAGGTGATGTGATGATACTGCATCAGCTGATTTAAAAAAAAAAAAACAAAAACCAAACTTACTGTCATCAAGTCATTTCCAACTATAGTAACCCCCATTGGGTTTCTGAGGCTGTAATCGCTCTGTCTTCCTTCTGCGGAGCATCTTGTGGGTTTGAACCGCTAACGTTCCAGTTAGCAGTCAAGTACCTTATCCAGTACCCTACCAGAGCTCCTTTCAGCTGATTATTGTTGTTGTTATGTGCTCACGAGTCGGACCGACTCATAGCAACCCCTCCCCAGGTTTCTGAGGTGGCATCACTATGGAAGTAGGTTGCCCAACCTTCCTTCCGAGGAGTAGCTGGTGGGTTTGAACCGCCAGCCTTCTGGTTACCAGTCAAGTGCCTTAGGCACTATGCTACCAGAGCTCCCTTTCAGCTGATAGGGAATCACTTTTTATTTAAATCGGATGATCTTTCTCTCTTTTTTTCCAATTGTGATTTGGGTGAAAATTTACAGAGCAAATTCATTTTCCATACAGCAGTTCACAT